AACATAACATAACATAACATAACATAACATAACATAACATAACATAATATAATATAATATCTACTACGAGATTGAAATATATTCACTGTCACAAAATAACAAAGATCGGGGGGAATTTCTAATCCGATTACGGCTTCCCTATTAGATTATTTATAATTGAGTAGAGTGAAATTAGAAAACTTCGAGGGATAAGTTGTTATTCAATTTTCTGGGAAGTTATATTTTTAAAAAAATCTTGTTTTAATATTTTTTCACACATTTGTTAGTGAGTACTGCTTAAAACATTACTCGTCATGCACTCACTGTAACTGAATAGTTACAGTGAGTGCAGTGAGTGTTGGAATCAACATATCTATGATTCCAACCAATCCTTACGTAATATATTTTGCGATTTCCACTTTTCTCTATTCCTAGAATAATCCTCATCGACAACGTTTTTCAACTGTATAAAAGCCCTGAAAACACATCGCGCTCTCTACCAGATTCCTGAAAAATCAAAAATGTTATCCAGTTTTGTTTAATTTTGTTACTTAAAACTGTGGAAGACTTGTAAACTTGTAATGAAGCAAGAATTACTCAGTCTAGGCTGTACGACGCACAAGTGCCTTACTTTTTCCAGTTTAAGAATGGAAAATACAGAACCAAACAAAATAAAAAAATCAGAGGAACATATAAACTGTGAACTGAACAATTCTGCGTTATTTATGAATGAATATTGGGAAAACTGGAAAACAACGAATATCACACACATGTTGCCGCATCCAAAAGTTGTCATATTAATGCCTAAAGTATTTTAATAGTCAAAGTTTAACGTTTTTTCAATGATTTCTAAGTCAGACTTAGCTTCTTCACGCTTACATATGACTTCCGATACCTTATCCAGTAACAGCGATCGGAAATATTCGTGGTTTCCCGTTGATCACTACATCTGTATGGTATTGGAACCGAAAACCTACTAGATTGTTCTCCACATCAGGAGAGAGAGACGGTAACTGCCATCTTTAAACATTTGCATCACTAGGACGTAGCCTTAGTATCGCTAGTAAATTATAGGCCATGGAACATCGCAATTAATCTTTTATAGGCATGATTATTTAGTTATTAAAATTGTTCATTCACATTAAAGTCATAATTGCTCAGTGAATAATTTCGGAATGTTGTGAAATTTTGTTGAATTTTGGATACCAAGAAAGCACCTGAACATAACATTGTTTGGCGTCGGTTTAATTTGTTTCGTGTGCGTCGTAATTTCAACTTTCCGCTTCACTGATGAGTTAAAATGACAATAATTATATACCTTTATGGTATAGAAATTGTTCGGAAATCATTTTAAGTATATTCAACTAAATACTTGTACATTGTATGATAATGATAACTTTAAAAAAAAATCGGACAAGTTTGTATAATTACATCTTTTTGGAGAAAGTGGGTTAAATCCAATAAACCAGATTCATCCCTCAATTTGCCACCCTTAAAAATAGAATATTTTCTTTAAATTTGAATGGAACTACTATTGATACACCCTTTCCAAGAAAAAAAAGAATCATCGAAATCGGGTCTCAAATTTTAATGTCGTCGGAGTAATCGCGTAATATACAAAAAATTCAATCGAATTGAGAACCTCCTTTTTTTTAAAGTCGATTAAAATGAATTATTTCTTTTTCAGTGTTAATTTGACAGTTTATAAGCGTATTAAAATGAAAACATCTTCAACATAGCTTAGGGAGTTAAGCAGGCGATAGACACCTAACAAAACTAACGCTGTAATTAAATTTTGTAGTAAATATTTCCGCTCTGCGTTAGGTAGATAACTTTAAAGGCCTTTAAACATTTTTTTAATATCGTTAACGCGATAGAATTTGATATGAAAAATATGTGCATTTTCGCATGTACTTGTATAAAGTGCAAAACATAGATGTCGTAAGAGTTGCAACAGACTTTTGAGAAAAGGTCACGCTTAAAAATACAGCAATTTAGTTAGCCCACAGGTGCCAGTCGGTGAGAGAGTATTCCACTCTACCTTGTGCTCTGTTTCCAAAAAGTTAGTCAAGAAAGATAGGCAACATGGTGCGGATAAGTTGGCAGACTAAAACAGCGGCATGGAAAAATAATATCAAAGAGTATGATGACGTTATTAAACGCATTGTGGACATAAACCAGCAACCGTCTAAGAAACAACTGAAAAACAATACCGTCTAACTGATACACATCACAGATGAGTAACTTTTCGTGGCAATAGAGCTCCTTGTGAAAGAGTTGGCCCAGGGAAGTACTGCCACCATACCTGTGTCTGCAGGCAACCATTAATGTGAGCATTAATACGTTCCGGTTTTTAAAGGTAAGGGTGCTGGTGAAATTATAGGCACATGGAACTTGTCAACTTATGTCTCAGGGTGAAGGGCGCAGCGAAAGTGCCCCTCAGATTTTTGCGATTTAAAGCTCTAAGCGACATTGCAACTAATATGGGTAGGCGTGTTGCTTACTATCAGGCGCACGGCCTGTTCGTCCCGTCAATTGGTATCATAAAAAAACTCAAATGAACATAATATATACGTCGAAATACTGAAAGCAGACCCGGTAAGATCTGAGTCCTCGTAACATCGTCCTATCGAGCGAAATTGGAAGTCTGAACACTGTCTGCCACCCAATTCATTGGGTGGCATTATGATTTCAACCAGGGGTCTTAAAAAGATGAGAAGAGCGTTTTGTTTTTACGTGACAGCTGAAGAAGCGTTACTTTACTGTGTACCGCTAAAGACAAATTTGGCAAATCGCAAATACTCTTCGTGAAGAATTTCACCCTACACGATCTTCTTCACTCTACACGCTCACGTTGAGACCACACCAAAAATTTTCGCAATCAGAAAATACATTTCTGTCTTTCGTGGAATTTGGAAGAATCTTCGTTACTGTGTAGTGGAGCGTAATGTAATTACGTATATCCGATAAAATCATTGGCGTCATCCAAGCCCGTTATCGTGGTAGTACCTGTAGTGAATGCGTGATCAAATTTCGTGTGCCCTTATCAGGATGTAAGCGGGCATCGTACATGGCTGTCTCCTGTCACCACTTCTATTCATCATTCTGCTCGACAATATCATGCAGAAAGTAATGTCTACTCATTGTCTACTACACTTAGGGACTACGTATTACTGTATCTTGACTACGTGGGCGACATAATTTTAATTTCAGTGACGCTTAACCACTGGCCAAATTTGAAAATTTTACACAACCGACAAAGAAGAAGTGAGATTGCGAATCAATACAAAGACTTTGTATTTGAAATGAGTATTTTGTTGGATAACAAGGAAACTTTTAGTCGCCTAGATTAAAATCTTTAATTAGATAGGTAGGCAGACGGCCTTTTTAAGATACATACTTAGTACCCGAATACCAACCAGTGTGGCTCGAAGAACGCCAAAGAGAGCTTGTGTTCAACTTAAATCGGACAGGATTTTACCTTGCTTACCTAGCTGCGAAACGTAGCAAAATGACTGACTAACCAGCTTACATCTATACTTTACATCTACGGGCAGGAGATTCTAAATTCCCATTAAACAAGTAATTGAAAGTGGCGACTTAGCGAAAGTGAGGCTGGATAGAGTAAACATTGCGGTGTAGACAAATAGATACCATGTCGAACGGCAGATATGTGGCAAAAAAAGACGGCTTAAAGCTGTTGGGTTGACGTGGAGCAAACTAAAGAAGACGGCACAAGACAGGATGAAGTGGCGACAAATCGTAAAGGTACTATATGTACCAGAAAGGTACTCCAAGACTACAACTATAATAATTATGTGAGACATGTTAATAAAAGTGCCACTGCTATTCGTCTGTCGTTTCTTTGGATTTTCATTTGATGGATCGTTTTAATAATGTATGCTGTTCAACGCTTTAATATGAAAATGACGCGCAAAATACTCTCACGTTTTGCTCGTACGTGGTTTTCTTTTGGTAAGGCGGATAACAGACGAGTCTGATGTGCCACTGCGGTTTTATTTCTTCACACATGAAAATGTCACGCGACAGTGCAGTGAATTGATCACGACGGACCCCTTCATTTTACTTTTTTAAAGTTATTATTATTATGTTTAAGGATTAAGTAGTTTGAATAAAATATTTTCGTCTTAGAGATTAGGTTAAGTTTACTTGGAAGTGCGGTGGAGTTCTGAAACTGACTGTGAAGTCATTTAAGCATGTTTGTAGGTAGGTTGTGTAGACAACCACAAATTACACCCAAACTCACAAGAGAAATATGGAACCCGGGACATCAGCATGGCTTGATAACCATTCGGCCATGGAGCCAGGTAACTTTAAAATGACTTAGGAGAGTGTTCGCTTAAAATATCGTAGGAGGTATCAGAAGTTTTACTTCATTTCTGTTTTTTATGCACGGGACCTTTAAGTGAAAGACATGACCAACAAAACATTTGAAATCTATAGGTACTTTTTAAAATATTCCAAAGCTTGTTACAAACAAATTATTTTATTATATTAACCCTTTCCTTAGTAGTTTAACTTGTCTAACAGCTGTTTTCGTAAACAAATCATGGAGTGCCTTTATGCCGCACTTCATTTATTTCAAACATGTTTTATTTGCAACTCGTAAACACGCATTAGGGTCGAACGACCCTTTTCTAGAGCGTTGTAATTTTCTTTAAAGTATTATATAACCCATATTCAATAAAAAAAAGATTAAATTGAATAATGGAAAATAAGAGCAATGAACTAAATTACAATAGTAATAGTAAAAAAAATACCAAGACTTACCTTAAAGCATTTAGCTCGAAGTTAGACAACAAACACAACAACGGAGAAAGCGTTCGAACACTTCGAAGTCGGAATAACAACTGAAACACGGACCAGCTGCGCCACATGCACTGCGCAGTACAGGCGAAACAGAGGAAAAACCAATTTCACTTAACCTCTGCTTCATCGCTTACCGTGTTCTGCAAACTACAAACAATATTGTAGGTAGAGGCAGTTCTGTCACGGGTTAGGTTACAATGGTCAAATATAGGGTTCGAAAGGGAATCTTGTGGATCCCAGTCACGGAACCTAGTATGTGAATGATAGAACGGCGCTAGCGGGGTAGAGGAGGAGCGCGGGGGGTTACATAACCGTCAGATCGATACCCGGGCGGCGATGCTGAAACGCCCGGCAGAATACATACTTCTTTTTTTTTCATAGGAAACTATGGCATGATAGCGATTAATCTATTTTGCCTTGCCTTAGTGAATTATAAATATTTGTTTTTATTGCGGTCACGATGAAATCGTATTTCGTATAGTTTTACAATATTTTTAGGAGACTTGTAAGGTACCATTGTTACACTGGTTTTATGGTTAACATATTTTTAGTGTAATTTTACTGCATCTGCTCCGTACAGTATTCAACGGACTTTTTGATAATATAGAAAGAGGTAAAGACAGACATAATAAATAATTCACCTTAAGTATATCTATGACCATCGACGCCAGCGCAGATCAGTGAATAAGTTGTGCGGACGCTACGAGCTACGAATTTTCGTAGTACGCGCGCGAACGTATGACATTGAATTAAAGATATTTTTTTGGCTTGGTAATTGTAGTGAAACGTTTTTGTTGTTGTACAAGTATGTTTTTAATATTAATTAATATCTTCGCTTTAATGCTTTGTTTCCTTTCTGGTTCAGAGTGGTTACAGCTTGGCGGCAGACATAGGTATGGTGTCAGTACTTCCCTGAACGAACTCTTTCACAAGAAGTTTTACTGCTACTATCATTATACATCGCACTGCAATTATAATAGTGTTGTAACTTAAAATACGTGAAATTCAAGATTTGTTGAACGTAAAATTTGATTCTCCACATGTCAATAAAACCGTCGTTAGAATATTGTTAGAAAAATTTGTAAGATTAAAAGATATCTACTTAACTCAAAATGGGACAAAGTTTATGTGATGTCCAGAACTATCTGGACAAAACAGACCATCCTAAACATATAACATTATTTTTACGCTTTTATTTTTAAATATACTTGGAAAGTATGAAATTGTTTAGATGTCCGTAATAAAACTTTATTTTATACATAAATTTTAATAATAATCTTTCACGGGAAGTCAGTAATTCAATTTTCATCGATTCTGAAAAAAATATACTTTTTGAGTTAATACACTACTGTATTAACATTGCGATATATAGATTAGCATTATTATTTATAATGTCTATGTAGTTCCTAAATTCATTTAGGAGCTCCATAGATTTGATTTTTTTGTTGGAAATCACGTTTGACAACGGTCAATCCGTTCCTTTCGTGGATTCAACCAACTACCAAAAGTGAGATAAAATGTAAAGATTGAAATGCGATCTCTACAGCACCGTAATATCTCGAAAAAATCCTCTAAGTATACTTTATTTTCTTTGGTTTGGATAAGGGTAAAGGATATTGACAAACTTATTTCGTTGTAGTAAACGACCAAAGTACATTAGGTATTATCTGACTAAGGGAGAGTCTTAAACAGTTTTAATTTCTTGTATTATTTTGACACCATTTTGGACGGTGATGAATATTGACTAATGTAAACACAACACTTATCGACATAGAAACGCTTCAAAAGACCTTAAGTTTTTTCCTATAACATCAAGGGACGATACGAACAAGTCGTGCGCCTGGTGGTAAGCGACACGCCTATCCAAAACAGTTGCAGTGCCACTCAGAGCTTTAAATCGCAATGATCTTATGGGCACTGCCACTGCGCCCGTTACCCTGTGATATAAGTTGATAAGTCCCATGTGCCTGTAATTTCACCAGCACCAACAGCTTTGCAGTCTTATATAACAAATGACTATTGTTGCATTATCACATGTGGTTATATTACACCAAGAGTGTAATAAAGCATGTGGGTGCACGAAAGGAGCCTCCCCGTACGCCATGCCATTCCTTTCCTGTACATCTGGCGTACCATGGGCAACAATCAGCAAGACCCTACGCCGGTTGGTAATTCGTTTCACCGCGATGGCCAGCATTACGTTATATGCCATCGATACGATAAGAAGACGACTGATGGTACGAAATAGAAAACAAAACAATTATATTTTCAGGAACAGTTACGAAGCTTTCCTTCTATGAAACGTATGAACGCTGCGTCCCGTTCCAGTTCCTTTTACTTGCGTGCTCACCTTTCCCGCAGCTCAATATCGAACTATCGAAGTTAATTAAACATTTTTAATATGTAGCGTCGCCACATTCTATGTATAAAACTTCCTGAATAATATATATAAATCTTATTAACCGAATTCAAAAAAAGGAGGAGGTTCTCAATTCCACTGTACGTTTTTTATGTATGTATGTTACGCGATAACTCCGGTATTTGTGAGCCGATTTTCATGATTCTTTTTTCGTTGGAAAGAGTGTACCTACCTCCAAAGTGGTTCCATATAATTTTGAAGAAATACATATATCCACCTCTAAGGGTGGCTGTGCACGCATGAAGATTCATTTTTATAAATGGCGCCTAAATTTTAGTATAAGGAGCAATTATTTTAATGGTTGATTTTGCTATTCTTTAATTCAAGGCGTTTTTCTCTTTCAATATACTTTGATTAGTGAGAACCGATTTTTATTATCTCCTGTGTTAAGTCCCGTATAGTGGCAAACTAGGCGATGAATCCGGGTTTGCGCACTTTCCGGTAACCGATTTCAATAAAACTTGGTAATTATATGTAATTCCACGTACCTTTGAGGTTGGTTTTTTTTAGCACTCTTATTCTCCTTCTACGACTCTCGTAGAGGGAGAATTGGGTAGAGAGGCTCCATTAACTAATAAAAACCGTATAAGCGAGATAGATTTATGCACAGACATATCAGAGTAAACTAGAAAACAATATTATTTTTTGTCCCTATCTACGTATGCGGTTTTGCTAGTATGACTCAACGCACGTTGAGTCCAGCAAATCCTTTCGAGTGTTTGATGTGCATCGATTTTATGTGTTTGTGCTTTTAAGAAGTGTTTTACAAAGTTACTAACCGTTCCTATGTAGTAAGTGACAATTATTGCAGCTCACAATAATGGTGCATTGTTATATTTTAGCCTGTAAAAGCCGTGCGGAACGAAAAATTCCCAACATAACCTTTCACACGTAAGTCTTAATTTTTCATTACAATCAATGAATTTTTTTGTATGAATTATTAATGAAATACTCTTAAAATCCTGGAATATTACGATTTCATGTATTTTAGATGATATTTGAAGTGTTTTTCTAGATTGAAAGATTTTTGTTTGCATCGTATAAACCTCCTGAAATAAGGAGAATATCTTACTTTTGTCAAATATGTCCATTTCGCTTCTACCAGCAATGGTTATGATACGCAAAAAAGAGAGATTAAATCAACAACGTATAAATTAAATTAGACAGGCGAGGCTGATTTTAGGAATACCGTGCTTTTGCCACTATCTTTTCCCCTATTTATGGGTCATTTTAAATATTGTATTTTTTACTTTTCAATACTTTTTCAGTTCAAAATATGTATACTAAGTTAATACTGTTCAAGGGCCAATAAAAAAGTAATGATTACTAAATGTGGTCTGACGGATTCTCCCTCCTTAGACTTGGCAGATTTCATCATTATCATGAACCCATTTATACGTCCCACTGCTGGGCACGGGTTTCCTCTCAGGCGACAGTCCTTCACACTGGCCCAATAAGGGTTGGGTATTGCACACGTTTTTCGAGGACTTTGAACTTTCTTCAAAGTTTCATCACGATGTTTTCCTTCACCGAAAAGCTCATGATAAATTAAAAATTACATTTCGCACAAATTCCGAGAAACTCAGAGGTGCGAGTCTGGATTCGAACCCGCGACCTTCTGCTTGAGAGGCAGTAGGTCAAACCATTAGGTTAGTAGGTTAAACCATTATGCTGACGACATGGTGCTGCTGGGGCCGTCTATTAATGCGCTCAGGAAATTACTCAAAGTGTGTGAGAGGTATGCAGCCAAGCATGCATGGGCTGAAGTACAACTCAAAAAAAAAGTGAACTGCTTGTTGTAAAGGCAGGTAAATGCTATCCAGATGTTGTACCATCGTTAACGCTTGGTGGCATGCCTCTTAATAGAGTTGATAAGTTTAGATATCTTGGTCACGTTATTACTGACAGCATTAAAGATGATCTAGATATTGAAAGGGAGCGCAGAGCGCTGGCTGTGAGAGGAAACATGCTGGCCCGTAGATTCACTCGTTGTACAAAAGAGGTGAAAGTTATGCTTTTTAAAGCTTTTTGTCAGTCAATGTACTCGAGTAGTCTATGGATTAGATATACACAGCGTACATATAACTCAATACGAATACAATACAATAACATCTTAAGGATGCTGTTGAGACTGCCACGGCACTGCAGTGCATCCATCATGTTTGCTGAAGCGCGAACAGATGACTTTTATGCCGTTAGGCATTGACTTACAATTATATGGACGTCGGGTCCGCGCTAAAAAGTGTCCGCACTTGTAAGGCGCTAAAATCGTATACAGAGCGCGACACTCCGCTTTAGTCTTCATTTGTTCTACGGACAGCGCGATACTGCGATGACATAACAATTTAAATTTCGAATAGGTTGACTTGGGACATTTTTTTCGTGGTTTTTGTATTAGACCCGTCGTCCATTTATTTGTAAGTCAATGCCGTTAGGCGTAAAAAAGTGTCGTCTCTGCTAAACCGAGTGCGTGACAGTGGCAATGGCATCCTGAGGTTGTTTGCCCATCGTTTTGACTGTACAATTTTAAAGTTTTGGGTAAACATTACAACCGGTCAAATTAAGTAATAATTGTGCATTTTCCAAATTTTAATATTTAAATTTTCTGTCAATATTTCAAAATTCAATGTAATCAATGGTAATCATACTAACATAGTTCTAAGGTTTTCTTTTGTAACTAACACCATTATCTTATGGGCTATGGCTTGAAATAAATGGTTTATTATTATTATTATTATTAGACTACCACGGCCTCATTTTCATTTCAATTTCTTTAACGGGGTAAAATTTTAAAAGTAACCCAGAATTTATAGGTTAATTTATAGG